AAAATGAATCTATATTAAATTAATTCTCTTATCTCCTTCTGGATAACCTAAGACTTTAGAAAACTTTAAACTCCGTTTACCTTCTTTCAACTTTTGTGTGATTACTGTCATATATTTTAATTCAATACATCTTTTAAACCCATAGACATTATGATTATGGTTTGAAACAGTCCTGAATGTGCATGGATTCATGCACATTTTCTATTTTACTGGTTCTTCATCTTTTTCTGCATCACTATACTTTCATCTTAGATTGGTTTTCTTCTGCTTGGAGAACTCCCCGTGGCATTCCTTTTAGTGTGAGTATGCTGAGGATAATTCTGCCAGGTTTTGTTTGAAAACATTTCACTTTTGCCTTTGTTTTTAAAGGATATTTCTTTAGAATATAGACTGCAAGTTGTAGGCATTGTATTTCATCATTTGATGATACATGCCATTGTTCGTAGCTTCCATTGTTTCTCTTCAAAGTCAATTGTCAGTCTTATTTTTACTACTTTGAGATTAATTCATATTTGTTAGCTTCTTACAGTATGCTTAAATCATTGATTTTAAAGCTTTCTTCTGTTCTAGTATAAACAATGTAAAGCAATGCATTTGCCTCTGGGCACTGCTTTAGCTGAATCCTACAAATTCTAATATGTTGTGTTTTCATTTCGTTCAAGTTGTTCTTAATTTTCTTTGTAGTCTGGGTGACAGAGTGAGACTCTGTCTTAAAAATACATTGTTTTAATTTTATTTGTGATTTCTTTTTTTGACCTATGGGTTATTTAGAAGTGTGTTATTTAATTCTCAAATATTTTGTGGATATTCTAGAGTATCTTTCAGTTATTAATTTCTAATTTCTACTTTGTCTTGTGGTCAGATAACATGGTTTTTATTATTTCAATCTCCTTAGAACTTTATCAAGATTGTTTTAAAGCCCAGGATATAGTCTAACTTAGGAAATGTTTCCTGTGCCCTTTCAAATCATCTGTTGCTGTTTGGTGAAGTGTTCTATGATGTGAAATAGGTTAAGTTGTTTAATAGTGTATCCAAGTCACATACTTTTACTTTTGTGTACTTATTCTTTCAATTTCCAAGAGAAAAGAGTTAATACCCCTTAGCTATAATTTTTGAATTGCCTATTTTTCTTTTCAGTTTGGTTCATTTTTGCTTCATGTATTTTGGAGCTCTGTAATTAATTAATATTTAATTAAGCATGTCTATATTTTGTTTCTTTAATTAATCAAGTGCACATGTATTTAAAATTGTTTCATTTTCTTAATAGGTTTACCTTTTATTATAGAATGTCCCTCTTTATCTTTGTTAATATTCCTGGTCCCCAAGTTACTTTGATACAGTCACATGATCTTTCTTATTGATTTGAGTTATCACACTCTAGTTTTTTTAAATTTTTACTTTAATTTCTCTTTATATTTAAAACGAATTTATTATTGACAATATACAGCAAGTTCTTCCTTTTTTAAAATCCAGTCTGACAATATCTTTTTAGTTGCAATGCTTCAACTGTATATATTTAGTGAAAATGTTGACAGTAATTGTTTCGATCCATGAACATGAGATATCTTTTGATTTCTTTGTGTCTTCTTCAATTTCTTTTATTAATGTTTTATGATTTTCAATGTATAGGTCTTTCACCTCCTTGGTTAAATTTATTCCTAGGTGGGTTTTTTTTGAAGTTATTATAAATGAGATTTTTTTCATTCTTTTTCAGATAGTTTGTTGTTAGTGTATAGAAATGCTCCTAATTTTCCTGTGTTAATTTTGTATACTGCAACTTTACTGATTTATTATAATAGTTTTTTTGGTGGAGTTCTTGAGCACATTTATGATAGCTATTTCAAAATTCTCATCTGCTAATTCCATCATATCGGTCATTTCTGGGTCTGCTTTTATTGACGAATTTTTCTCTTGATTATTAGACTTGTCATGCTGTTTTACATATCTCGTAATTGTTTACCAGCTGCCAGACTTTGAATGTTACATTGTAGCATGCCTATATTTTCTTTAATTAAGGAATTAAATAGGCAATAAAGAATATTTGGCAGGCAGTAGGGTAACTTGCAGATGACTTGTTTTCCTTTCAAGCCTTGCTTTTATGCTTTGTTCAGGTGAATCTATAATAACCTTTACTCTAGGGCTAATTCATTCCCTGTAATTTTTCTGTGGTCTCTATCAATGCCTCAAATTTTTGTTCTACCCTGGCTAGGAAGAACTTGAACATCTCCCAGTCCTATAAAAGCTTTCGAGATTGTTTAGCCTACAACTTCCCAGCAACTATTTGCCTAACCTCATAGAGTTTCTCTCTATGTATCTATAGTTTACTATAAGCAATAGACTCGAGGGGATTTCTATGCTTAGGTGTGAATTTCTTCTTTAAATAGCTCCCTCTTCTCCAATACTCTGCCCCACATATTCCAGCTGTTTCAGCCTGCCCAAACTCTCATCTGTCTTTTCAACTCAATGAATCTGTTATGCTTTATTTAGTTTCTTCTTACCTGTACTGTGATCTGGAAAGACCCTCTAAGCAGAAAGCTACTGTGATTGTAGGATTTTCCTCATTTGCTTCTGTTCTTGCCTTTATCACAGTTCTGCACTGCACTGCATAGTTGTCCAATGCCTGAAAATAGATGCTTCATGTATTTTGTCTTAATTTTCAGTGCTTTGTGTTGGGAGATGAATTCCAGAATCAGTCATTCTAACACAGCCAGAATGGAACAATGCTGCAAAGTCTTTAAGATTTTACAAATGAAAAGTATACTAGGCCAGGTGCGGTGGCTAACACTTACAATCCCAGCACTTTGGGAGGCCAAGGCAAGTGGATTACTGAAATCAGGAGTTCGAAACCAGCCTGGCCAACATGGCGAAACCCCATCTCTACTAAAAATACAAAAATTAGCTGGGCATGTTGGTGGGCGCCTGTAATCCCAGCTGCTCAGGAGGCTGAGGCATGAGAATCACTTGAACCTGAGAGGCAGAGATTGCAGTGAGCCCAGATCACGCCACTACACTCCAGCCTGGGTGACAGAGCAAGACTCCGTCTCAAAAAAAGAAAAACAAAAAAGTACTAGAATGTTTGGTTCTGTGATGGAGAGGGTAACAAGAAAAAGACTCAGTGGCAACTATGTAACTTCTTTCTTGCCAGAAGTTTAAGAAATGCATTATCTTTGGAAGCATTTTCTCCTCACTTTCAAAAAGAAATGTCAATGGAAATATTTGTTTTTTGAAAGTTAGAAGAAGTTTCAACTTTAGGTTTATATTTCTTCCATAAAAAAAGGATAACTAGGCAGTTTTCTAATGTTGCAGTATTGTTATGTTAGATCAGTGATGATGATCAAGTGGTTCCTGCTGCTCTTGCTGCTGCCAACCATAAGAACATTTACTTTGGCACTGCTAATATACCAGGCATTATGCTAGGCACTTTACACTGATTATCTTCACCCTTCCACAACAATTCTGCAAGTTAGAAATAATGATCCTGAGAAACTCAAAGAGGTAAAATTATTTCCTCAAGGTCATACGCTAAGAAGCTGAACACTCAGTGACTGAATTACTCAGTGGTCATTTAGTGGCTAGAATTGGGAAACAATCTCAGCTCATCAATAGCGATGCTTCCTCCCGTTATTATACTGCTCTCTGATTCTATCTTTACCTTAGCTTTCCATCTGGGAAATTAAACTAGAAAACAGCAAACGCCCTCCCTAGAGAGATTATATTATTATATAGATGTTTTGCATTATTTTGCTTTGAATAACAATGTATGTAAATGTGCTCCTGGAGGCTAAAATACCCTTATTTTGTCAAACTTGGCCTCTCTCACTAGAGTGAATTGTTGAAAATTTTAGGGAGGAAAAGACAGGCTGGAGAGAATGTTAGTTGACTTGGAGGTGCTTCTCCTTTCCTCCAACCCAACGCCTATTTCTATTCAGACATAAGCAGCCACAGCAAAGTAAAGATTAGTCAATTACCTATCGTGGAGTCCTAGCTGGTCCTGATATTCAGTGATCAGAGTAAGTTAATCTAGCTATTACTCATCAACTCTGCATCATGTTGATGTGTAGGGGCAGATGTTCTTGCTGAGAAGAATAAAAGCCTCCTGTGGCACCTGGAACACCTTATCACACATGGTCTCCAGCCACATCACAGAGTGATTCTAGTTAACCTGAGCACTTTGCTGCCTCTAACCATTTACCTCTTGTTCAGAGGTTGGCATATCTCCTCAACTTCAGCTCTCCCTTGGGCTCTGTATTGTTGAGCCATCCCTATCTGAAACTGCCTTTCCTGGCATTTGAATCACCACTTCGATGATGTGATAGTATCTGCAAGTTGGGAAAATAAAAATGGCATTTGTTTGGCCATAATTAATGAAATATTTATGTTGCATGAGACTATGTGATAAAACCTTAGGCTTAGAGTCCTTTTGCTTCTGATTACATTTGGGATTTTTTTTTTCTATGACCAGACATTCTGACACCAGCTCTTTTACACTGAGCAGATGTCATGTAGTAAAAATGGGTGCCAGATGCTGTGAGCAGCAGAAGGGCGGTTTGTTTAAGAGCTGGCTCCAACTTTTTTGCATTCAATTACTCTGCAGAACGAACCTTACACAAGCATTTAGGTAACTCAACTAACTTCAGACATGCATTTTAATAATAGATTTTATCTCTGAATGCATTCTGAGCAACACACCATATAAATGGTGTTTAAGGAATTAATTGATTTCTGCATAATACCTTGGCTTTTTTTTTTTTTTTTTTTTTTTTTTAATGTGAAAAGAGAGCTGCAAAGCTCTTGGCAGGGACCCAGAAATGTAATTAACGTGGAGGGCCAAATTTTCAGTTGCCCTTAGGTACTGTTGCCTCATGCTCACGGCAGGTGCAGTGAGGGGAGGGCAGGGAGGAAGGGAAAGAGAGTAAGGGGGGAGGAGGAAGCAGCAGCTTTGGTTCATAAAGCAGGAAATGAAGCTAGCAGTTCATTGAGTTTTTCTGTTCCCATTTCAGACTCCAAGAACTTTCCCCTCAGAGCACAGGTAACAGAGGCTTCCTCTTCTGCCTCTTCAACCTCCTCCTCCTCTGCAGATGAAGAATTTGATCCCCAGCTTTCCTTGCAGTCAAAGGTAACAACACTTGACCAGCCAAAGAGGGCCTTGGCTGGTGGGGACTGCTTACCATCCAGATTTCAGAACCAATGTGGGCTCCAGCTGCAGTGGTTTCATTAAGAGGATCATGTTTCACTGCATCTGACAGGGTGCTCTCTTTACCTTGAACACCCAAAGAATTATCTCCTTTAAAAAAAAAAAAAAAGCTTGTAGAAGTTTGCCTTTCTCAGACCCAAATTGAAGGAAAAAAAAAAAAAAAAGACATATTTACTTGAAACCATTTGGTGACGGCAGCTCTTAAAGTGGGTTTAATATGTGGTCCAACAAGCAAACCATCGAAAACATTACAACAAGCAGATGCATATTTCCCTGGGGGAAGCACAGCTTCATTTAAGAAGCACTAGAGGCAGATTGCATGGAAAATGTTATGTTTATTCTAATCAGAAATATGAAATGAACCATGCAGTTTCATCTAGACATGGATACTCCAAGGATCCCTGCTGTGGAAGGGACAAGCCCCGTGCCAGCTGGGGAGACGATTGACTTCTTTTCTCAATGAACATTAATGTTTTTGGAGAACTCTTTAAACAACTCTCATATCTGTAGATTAAAAAACACAAACATTGTATATGTCTATAAATGTGTCTGTCTGTCACATACACAGAGACAGACGTCCCATAACCAAAGCCCACCATTATTTTCTTTATCCACTGAAGCTGGAGCATTTTCACTGAGACAGTAGAGTACTTGGTGGGGCAGGTGGGGGCAGGGGTTACTGAGTGGTTGGACCCAAAATGCTTCCCGGGTAGAAAGAGAAGCAGTTCACCGCTCTGGTAGTGTTTATTTTTTGGAGTAGTGAGGATCTGGGGAGGGAGGAGGAGAACCAAATTTATTTACTTACCCTCAACTTTTCCATATCTGGCATTAGGAGCCTTGGCATCATCTCAAGTCACTCTGGGGTTCCAACTCCCCATGGCCCAGTTTGAAGCAAGGCAGGAGGGATCTGGAATGTGTAGGGGGGAAGGGGAGGAGAGAGGAAGAGAGAGGGAGGGAGAAGACAGATAGACAGAGAGAGAGTTGAGAGAGAAAGATGTGTGAATTTCTCATTTCTAACAATGGTGTCCCTAATTAATTCAGCATTCAACACAAATGAATTATGTGTGTGTTGTGTTGATTTCTGTGGTTTTCTTACTGCCCCTCTCATCCCCTTGAATGACCCTGAGTTAATTCTATATTCCAATTAGGCAGAGATCCCAGCCCCAGCCATCTTGACACTCACGGAGAATAAAAGAATAGAATGGCCCAAACATATTGAAATAGCAAGACTGTGGTATCTAGGACCAGTCTCAAAATAGCTCCTTGTCGTCCTGCTGGCCCAGAACAGAGCCCGCCATCACGTCAGCTTGCCAGGTGGTAAAGCATGCCTGCTTCACCTGGCTTCTGACCTGGCCCACTCTTACACGAAGGGAAGCTGGCGAGAAGATTTCTTTTTTCCAACCTCTCGAGGGCTCACACTGAAGGAATGAGAGGAGGTTTTCGTCCTCTGGTTTCTTTGTCTCTTCTGTCCCATACAGGTGTGTCCCCAGTCAGGTGACATAGAGCCCATGACAGCTCAAATGAACCTTTGCACAGGAAACTGGAGGTAGAATGTGTCCTCTCAGCCTCTGCCCTTTGCTTGACCCTTGTTCCCCACTGCCTTTCCTCCCACACCACCATCCAGATCTAAGAGACTACGGCAGGAAAAGACACAGCAGCTTGTCTTTGATTCTGCCAGGTTTCTGCTTCTTTTCTTCGATCGCCCTTCGCGTCTTTCCCTCTCTTCATCATCACCATCAGTGAGGATATAAGAACCATGCCTTGTATATGTAAGACTGTATGAGTGTTTATTAATGAAGCATCCGTCTTTTCTGTATCAGCAACTTTTTAATAAAAGGCAATAAATGACTTTCCTTCCTCTTCTAGGTTCTGTTTTGCTGACTGTTGATAAAACAGTCAGAGTTTGATAGCTTTGCTGCTCGGAAGCACTAACACCACATGATGCTGTTGAGGCAATTCCCCCCACCTTTCGCCTGGGAACTGCATTCAGTGGTCTTTACTTGTGGGGGGGGGGCATTGGCATTTCTCTTCTATAGTCCCACTTTAGAGTAGGTCCTTGTTGTGTCTAAATGGTATGTGGCACAAGGAAAGGCAGTATAGACTTAATGAAATGTGGATACTAGATTCAGGCTACCTGTGCCTAACTCCTGGCTCTGCCTATTAATAATTGCATCATCTTGTATAAGTTAATTTCCTTTCTGAGTTTTTTTTCCTTACCTGTAAAGTAAGTGCAATTTGAGGAATAAATGGGATGATGCGTGTGAAATAATTAGTACAGTGTCTGGCATATAGCATTTAGTAAATGTGAGGATTTATTACATAGGTTAGTATAATGGAAGCTCAAGGGGCACTTGGTAATAAATGAACTGACTCCATGTAGACTAAGTTAGACAATCTCTGGATGACAGTTACCATTCATCCCCACCACCTCTCCTCTAGAGCCTTTCCAGAAAGATCCTAGCTGCCCCATGAAGAATCCCCCATGCAACAGGTCTGGAATCCCCATTCAGAGTGATTGGCATTCAATCTGGTAGTCATCTCCTGTAAACAAGGATGATATGATATGGAATAATTTGAGTTCTGAGAGTAAAATTTTCTTCCAAGGATGAAGAAGATCTTTAGGATTTCAGGTCCTAAGGAGAATTCCAGAAAAATAGCCTGTAGGCACCAAGCTAGCTGCAACAATTTTTAAATTTCATAGTTATTTCTTCCAGCATTAAAAAGAAATGTCTAGCATGCTCTAATCCTCATCCTAGTATACGGAAAGTTGACGTGTATGCTCAGAGAAGGCACACGGAGTAAAAATAGCGCAATTTGAACATTTATTTTGTAGATACAGAATGTCTGTGTGTGTGTGTGTGTAATATATACTCCTACACACAAAAATCATAATAGATTTTAGTAAAAAGTGATAATCATGCTGATTTAAAATATAATAATGTAGGTGTGCTAGTAATAATAAAAATCATGCTCTTAGCATTTACTGAGTGTTCATCCCATGTCTCTTTCAGGTATTCTCCAAAAGGCTTAGCCTTGTTATTTCATTTAGTCCTTAGTATATCCCTACAAAGGCACTAAATTCTTCTCATTACTCTAAAGATGGCACTGAAGTTCAGAATGTTGTGTGACATTCTGAAGCTCACACATCTCAGTGGGGACTGGATGCCAGCTTTGCCTGTCTTGTGGTCCCAGTGCTCAACCATTAGTCTCTGCTATTTCTCCCGCCAGAAGTGTCTCCTGAACTTTCCAGGATGTGGAATTAGCCACACCATCACTTCTCTTTTCTCTTTTGTCGAAAACCTGGAAGTGACACTATGAAGATCTAGACTTCTACTTTATATGCATCAATTTTTTAAAAAAAAGTTTTAACAAGCACAGGTACACACACAACCTGGTGACAGTAATGCTATAATTGTATAAACAAAGTGAGGTAGGGAAGAGAAGCAATATCATGCTTCCCTCAAGCCAAAAAACACTTTCATTGGAATGATACATTTCTCCATTTCCAGGTTTAATTAGCCACTGTAGACTCAACCTAAGCACTATTTAAAGTTGTTAACTGGTTTTCATGTAGTGAAAGAGAGCATGTGTGTGTATATCTGTCTGCTTGCCTGCCTGTCTCTCTCTCCCAAGCCCCTCATCCCTAGGCCATATTGTAGCATCCCTGTAAAGTATAATTCTTGTATCATTCCTTCTCTCAGCTGAACCCAGACAGTATTCTATTATAGCAATTCCCAGCTACAGACCAACACATAGACTCCCTCCCAATACACACATAGCAGCTTCCCAGTCCAGAACCTACTAGCAACATGTGGCTACTTAAATTTACATTTAAGTTCATTAAAATTGAATAAAATTTAAAATTCAATTTCTAATCCACACTCACTTCAAGTGTCCACTAGCCACATGGGGCTAGTGGTTTCTGTATTTTAGACAGCACAGCTATAGTTTATTTCTATCATTGCATAGAGTTCTACCAGATGTCATTATTTTAGAAGGTAAGCAGTGGCTAGGAATCATTAGTTGGAGAGGGCAGAAGCCTATAATGATACATTGTAAATTTCAACCCCATTTTTCTCTGACATAATTTTTTTCTCTATTGGTTTTCATAGGAGAAGAAGACACTTAGAAGAAGAAAGAAGCTAGAAAAAGCAATGAAGCAGATGGTTAAGCAAGAAGAATTGAAAAGGCTCTATAAGGCTCAGGTCAGTAAATAAACTGGAGATGAGTGAGTGGGCCTGGGTCCAGGATTCTGGGACTCTGGATGGGAAAGAGGTTTGAGAGTCTGCATTGTATTAGGGAAAGCAGGCTGGAGAAAGGTCAGTCTTGTTCTCTGAGGGACCAGATTTGTGGCTGTTTTAAAGAGGCTCTGGCTTAGTCTCAGTAAGACTCTGGGTCCTGGAGAGCCCACATGTTAATCCAGCCTATTCTCGGTCACCCCTCCATCTGCAGACATGTGAGGCTGGAACAAGAGCCAACGCATGGCCTTGGGAGTCATCCCTGACGGCCACATAGCAGTGACCTTAGTTTTGTCCTCTGTGAGGACACAAACCTTCTACCAACTCCCTGACAGTGTCTTTACTAAACTGGCAGCTATTAAGGGCTGTCTCCATTTCAAGATTAGTTGAAATCATAAGTATCTAGCATTCCAGTACAGATTTCCTGGCCTGATTGCTGACTTTGAACACTTCCGCCCAAGTTGCTCGGCCACAACTCCATCACAGACAAGCAAAATGAAGCAGAAAGTCAAAGCATCCTCCATCTCTCTGAGGAGCCCAAGCCTAGTCTTGAACAAGGGTTGGATTTTAGGATATACAGACTTAGAATGACCACTCATGTTAATCCAGTATACCCTCACATCCCTTTCTCCACTTAATCCCTTTATCTGGCTAATAATCCTACACACTATTTCTGACCAGAGTGATATCATTCAATCCACCCTCCTTTCCCCTTCCCCATGGCTGGCTTGGGAGCCACCTCTTTCACCTAGCGAATGGGGAAAGGTCACTTCTGTCCACTTGCAACCTTTAAAACAGGTTTCCTTGAAACACTGCAACTTTTCCTTCCAAGAACAAGACAAATCTTATGATATTGATTGGCAAACTAGGCAATGCCTCTTCCTTGTATTTTCATCACAGAAAGTTATGATAAGAGAGGAATTACAATGGCCTTTTGAATCCTGCTGGCACCCATAGCAGCCATTTTGAATCTCTGAGACTTTCATCCTTAGTTGTTTTTTGTTTTATTTTTTGAGACAGAGTCTTGCTCTGTTGCCCAGGCTGGAGTGCAGTGGTGTGATCTCAGCTCACTGCAACCTCTGCCTCCTGGGTTCAAGTGATTCTCTCGCCTCATACTCCCAAGTAGCTGGGATTACAGATGCCTACCACAGTGCCCAGCTAATTTTTGTATTTTTAGTAGAGACGGGTTTTCACCATGTTGGCCAGGCTGGTCTCAAACTCCTGAGCTCAAGTGATCCTCCCACCTCAGCTTCCCAAAATGCTGAGATTGCTGGTGTGAGCCACCACGTCCAGCCTCATGCTTAGTTTCTAAAGAATGACCACTGTATTCATCTGCTTGGGCTGCCATAGCAAAGTACCATGGACCGGGTGGCTTAAACAATAGAAAATCATTTTCCTCACGTTCTGGAGCCGAGAAGTCCAAGATCAAGGTGCTGGCAGGTTTGACACATGGTAATGCCTCTCTTCCTGGCTTGTAGACAGCTGCTTTCTTCGTATGTCCTCACGTGGTCTTTCTGTGAGTTCACATGAGCAGAGAAAAATATCTCTGGTGTCTTTTCCTCTTGTAAGGACATCAGCTGCATTGGATTAGGGCCCCAGCCCTGTGACTCCATTTCACCTTGATTACCTCCTTAAAGGCCTTATCTCCAAATATAGTCACACTGGGGGTGTGACAAACATATGTCTTTGGGGAGGGACACAATTTAGTCTCTAAGAACCAGATAGCTGTAACTGCACAATGATCATTAATAAAACCATTTAGGTGCTTCCTTTCTTTAGCAATTCTACAGCATGCCAGCAAGAGATGGATTTATAAAGATGTAATTGTCTTTAAGGGAGAGACAGGAAGAGGGCATGAAATTACGAATTGTTTTAAGTAGACTTTCCATCTATTTCAGATATTATGTTGGGGCTTAAGCACTCATAGCTGGGACAAGAAGAGCCAGGTGGTTGCACAGGCCCCACCCCTCCCTGCTTGGGTCTCTTTCCAGGGTTGGAGGGGTCTCGGCTGCTGTACTTGTGATTCCAGGGGAGATTTAGAAAGATGTGGGGTTAAGGAAGAAGGGAGTGAGACAGAGTAAAGTAAAACAGAGAAGGAACACAGGCATTCTGCCTGCCCAAACAACTGACAGTTCCTTGAATATACCTGTTCTGCCAGGTGCAAAGTCTGTTCTGCCAAGGGATATGCCTTTTGACAGCATGGTATTTGAAAGCAGAGAAAATGGATGGGGATGAACAAAATTTATATAGAAATGGCTTTTCCCTACTTTCCTTTGTAATATACACAGGAGATTAATAGTAAGGAAAATAAATATGTAAATGCAAACACAGTCATGACCCCAGACCTTAACAGGTGTCTATAATGAACCTAAGGAGAGGATGATGTCATCCCTAACAAGTTAAACATCTTGTGTCTCACCTTAACAACCTGCTAGTAACAAAGCCACAGTACACTTCCACAATGAAAGAACGCTGGGCATCTGCCCATGGTGCAATGAAAGAACAGGTACAATTTGTAGCTAAGGACAGGAGCAGGACAATCGAAAACAGGAGCACGAAACCCCGAGAGCTGGCCCAGTTCTCTTTCTCCAGACTGACTCCTTGGGAGGTATAGGCTGGTTCTTCTTGGGGAAAATAGATTATGCAAGTACCATGTTTGCCCCCGGACCCCCTGCCCTACTCTGAACAGTGGCTGCAGCTCCAATCATTATGCCATGGCCATAGTCGGGCTGTTGGCTCCAAGGAGGCCAGGAGCCATGATGACTGCTCACCTCACCCAACAACCTCTATCTTGGAGGACATCTGTGATTGGCCTTGTCTAAGGAGACTGTTTTAATGTCTACTTAGGGGCCAGTTGAACATACACACAGATTCCTTGCTTTATGTTGCATGCTAAGGAAGGGAAACATCAGGGTATAGTTGTCTGGGATTCAGAGGTCCTTGCCTAGTTACTCAAGGCAGGACCATCACAAGTGAAAGGGACTCTTTCTCTTGGAAAGTAATTGACAGAATCGGCCCCTCTTGGGACTCTATGTGGAAAGTCCTTGTGTGACATCTGATCCTGGTGTTGCAGGCCATCCAGAGGCAGCTGGAGGAGGTGGAGGAGCTGCAGAGGGCTTCTGAGATCCAGGGTGTGAGGCTGGAGAAGGCGTTGCGAGGAGAAGCAGGTACGGCATCCCAGCGGATCCAGAGCAGTGGGCGTGGTCTGAGAATAGTACTAGTCTAACCATCTGAGGAAAACAGACCTTGTCACCTGCTGGGGAGCTGTTAGCATGGACATATGGTGCTAAATCCACAACTGCTGCACACTTTAAACATCAAACTATTGCTTCTCAGCCTTTTGGCCAAGATCAAATGTAAAAATCAAACTAGTGGCCCAATTTGAAATTCCCAGGAGCATTGGTCAGCCCGTGGACCTTGTAACTGTGCTTCTGTTCAGCCCTACCTCTCCACTGGCTAACACGAATGTTCTTTGTAATTCAGGGATTAAAATAAATTCAGGAGAAATATATGGGTATTGGAGCAGTGTTGGTAGTAATTCAAAGCCCAGAGTGAGTCAATGTCCTGGTTTTTCCTTTACTACCTGTATGACCTTGGGCCAGTCACGTTATAAACCTTTATACTTTTTCATTTTCTCATCTAAAATGGGGACAATAGTGGTTTTCTCCTTTATAGAACTGATATAAGGATTAAAGAAGAAATTATATATGATGCTTAAGTTAACACATTGCCTGGCCCAAGGTAAAGCAATAAGTGGTAACTATTCCAGTAATAGCTTCAGATTCTTAGATTCAAACAGAACTCATCTGGTGAAGACCTACTATACATTAGACATTAAAACACTGGGTCTGTAACAATGAGTGTGAAGCAGTTCCTACCTTGAGAAGTTTATAGTCCATTGAGAGACACACATAGGTAAAGAGGTAAGCCACAATACAGTATGACGAATGCTATGATAGGAACAAGAATTAGGTGCAATGTGAACAGAAGCAAGAAGTGCCTAAGTGATCTTGGGGCAAGGGGAGCCAGCGGGCAAGGCTTCTGGGAAGGGGTGATCTATACGATGAGAACCTGAGAAGGAACAAGAGTTAACCAGTGAAGAGGAGATTGTTCTGGCAGAGGGAACAGCGCCTGCAAAGGTCAAATGTGAAAAGACATGAAATATCTTCACAAATGAGCCAGTGAATGGGTTTTCAGGTAAGGAATGGCTTAAATCTACATTTTCAGAAATCTTCCAGTAGGTGTGTGGCTCATGAATTGGGGGGCCCTAAGAGTTTGTTGGGGGTATTGTCTCTTTAATTTTATAATGTGATGTCTTCAGCCTTCAGCATTTGGGATATAAAAGGTGAAAAACCAAGCACTGAAATAATGTGCAATAATATAAATAACAGGTTACTTGTTACTTAACAAGTGAAACATTAGGATTTCAATTCTTTAAAAGTCCAGTTATGTCACAGCGATGACACTAGCAGGTGCAGACCCAGATTTCCTGAGGCCTGAAGTTCGTGCAAAGTCACGTGTGTAAAATTGTGAGGGCTGCTTCCAGAACCTTGCAAAGACCCATCCAAGTGAGGGATCCTGGGGTTTCGGTTTCATTAACTGCATGGTTAATTTAGGACTAGATTTCAGGGAAATGCTAGAGTCAGACTTTACCTCTTCTGTGCCTCAGTTTTCTTGTTGGTAAATTGGGAGTGATAATAATAGTTACTTGTATTTGTGGTGAGGATTAGCTAAAATAATTTATGTAATATTCATAGACCAGTGTCTGGCTTGGAGCAGATGATTAACCAATACCTGTTTGCTTTTTCACTAAAATGCGCTGGATTTCCTTGCAAAGATGACCCAAATTTGCTCATTAGAAGTAGGCTTATTACAGGCTGGGCATGGTGGCTGATGCCTGTAATTCCAGCACTTTGGGAGGCCGAGACGGGCGGATCACGAGGTCAGGAGATCGAGACCATCCTGGCTAACATGGTGAAACCCCGTCTCTACTAAAAATACAAAAAATTAGCTGGGCATGGTGGCGGGCGCCTGTAGTCCCAGCTAACTCAGGAGGCTGAGGCAGGAGAATGGCGTGAACCCGGGAGGCAGAGCTTGCAGTGAGCTGAGATCGCACCAGTGCACTCCAGCCCAGGCAACAGAGCGAGACTCCATCTCCGGAAAAAAAAAAAAAAAAGAAGAAGTAGGCTTATTACAAATATAAAGAGTTTCTTGCTGCCTGGACTGAGAGTCACTGTCCATTTTTACAGCTGCTGTGGGGCTTTCGGTAGAATGAACTGCCCTTGTTTGGTGGTTTGGTCATATTCCCAGTCCAGAAGGCTCTGGTTCTTGTCTTTGAGAATCTGCTGATCTCAGTGAGAGTGTTAGAAAGGAAAAGGAAAAACCAGAAAAGCCAGAGTATGCTTCAGTTTGCCGCCAGCAACATACGCCAAGAGGCGGCATGGTGGAAAGTGGGGAGCTGTGGGTGCCAACAAGTCCTGTGTTCAAATTCTGTTCCACTCCACTTAGGCTGAATAGTCCTGGGAAAATCACTTAACCTCTCTGGCCCTAGATTTCTTATCTGAAAAATGAAGATACTAATCCCCATATTGCCAGGTCATTTTGAGAATTAGGGGTGTTGATAGGCAAAGTCTCTGCCAGAGTATTGACTACGTTGTAGGCATTCAGTAAACACTACTCACATCATTTTACAAAATATTACTAAGTATCCACACACATCTTCTTTTAAAGAATTGTCTAATTTTTACTGCTTGAAATTTAAATGAGAGAAACCAAAATTGTAAAGCATCTTCTGAAAATCTTCCTCATCCCCAAATATGAAAAAAAAAAAAAAAAGAAAAGAAAAGAAAAGAGAGAGCTATTTTGAATTATAGCAAAAGAAATCTGGCCAGCTTGTGATGTTTCAGAGGTGTGCCAAGCCAGCCAGAAGATGGATTCCATTCATTCCCTTTATATCCTTGGTAATTTAATTCCCCTGTTAAGTTTATGGGCCTTTTTCCCTTGATTGTCCTTGTGTGGGTGATAGATGCAGATCAACAAGGGGCTGGAGACTAAAAGAGTCAAGTCACGGAGAGTGGCCTCAAAACCGAATAGAAGTTTTGCAAACCAGGCACCAAAATTAATATACTCTAACTTGTAATAACATTTGTGCAATAATAATATTCCTTGGTGGTTTAGTATTCTATTCAGTCCCTCTAAGAGATTGCCCTGTTGCTTAATGAATGACCAATGCTTATTAGGTTAAGTTGTATTTGAGCTGGCCTGTGCTGCTCCGGTTCAAGTGATTTAATGGGAATTATTTAATAGGTATTATTAGGATAATTAGAAAATGATCACAGTTAGGCAATAATATTGAGCTATAAAGGTTGTGAATAACCAAATTTAGAGACAGACCTGAAAACATGAGTAGTCTGCGACAGTTATGCAAGGCTCCTCTGATAATTATGTAGGCTGCCTGAAAGGGGCTTTTGTTCTGGGAGTTATTCATTAGGCGGGCATTGAATTAGAGGAACATGCGGGGGTGCGGGATGGAGGGCAATGATGGCTGATGAGCAAAATGAGGCTTTGATGAGCTCCTCATTGTCGTGACAACAATTCCTGCTTTCTTTTTTCCCAGCAGTCAGAAATAAGCTCTCCCGCCCCCGGGAAGGGTTTTTCCCCATTTTGTCAAGGAAAAGGAAACAAAAGAAAACAAAAATCTAACAATCCACCCCAGATGACAAATCATTATGTTTTGCAGGACGTGGTGGAGTGAGAGTATGTGTGTGTGTGTGTGTGTGTGTGTGTGTGTGTGTGTCTGTGAGATGTCTTTGACAGAGGGAAGAAAGTCCCCTCTTGGTCCTAGCTGGCCAGGTGAAGGACCAGGATATGCAGTAACCTGATTCCTGGGGGCCCTACCATCTTCTGGAAAGAGGCCAAGTCCAGCTCTGCAGCCACTTAGACTCTTGTTGGTTGAGGCACTGTTTGTTACCTGCTGGCTTGTTGCTTGTCAATATGATGATCAGTGTTACCTACTAGGGCCATGGAATATCACAATCTAGCAAGAGACCACCATTCAAATTTAAGTGGTCTGGATAACACAACCTGGGCTTTCCTTCAATACCTGGAATCTGATGAAAACTGAGTAACTTCGAAGGAGAAAGGATTTCTCCCCAGGGGAGGCGAATAAGAATAATTATTCCCTTATAAGTTTACCAGCTTTGGGGAAGATTTACCAGCTAGTTGTCTGTATGGAACTTCTCGCCTTTTTTGGAGCCAGATGGTTTCTACTTCCCGGAGATTGAGGGGTTTACCAAGGAAAATTAGGATGTGCAAGGTGCCAGCAGGTGGCAGCAGGAGCACACATTTTGTGAGAAATGCCAGCAAAAGCCTCACCAGAACCAGGGAAGTAGTTGGGCTTAGACTCCATGGTTTTCGCTGCTGCTGAGGACCCGAGGAATAAAAGTTCCTGGGGAATGTACAGTGAGGTGTCCTGGACAGAGCACAGGCATTAGAGTCAGACCCTCCTGAGTCTGAATCCCAATGTAGTCCTTATACAATTATTTACTTTTCTGCCAGATTTTCTCATCTATAAAATTGAATGAATAATACCAGCTTCACAGGGATGGTATGAAGAAAAGGTTAAGTGAAATAATGTTAGTAAAGCACCCAAAAAAGGACCTGAAATACAAATAGGTATTCAAAAATATTTCTTCTCTTTTCTTTTATATCCCTGTTATTATAACATACAGCTGGATGGTCAATGACTTCTCAAATTGTATTTATTTGTTCATCCATCCACATTCATTTATAACTATACTCCCTAAAAGAGATTTAAGCTGGTTTCTATAAATATTTGTAATACGTGAATTTGCATGCCTGGTCCAAACAAGGATCTCCATGAGGACTCGTTGTTATCACTCCCACACCCCCGCCACCACTGTTCCCCACCCCCCCCCAAAAACAGCAATGCAATAAAAGCTGTTCAACAAAGATAGCAGACTATGGGTTTTGAGGCATGCCTCTCTGGCACTCTGCTACAATTTGGGAATGGGTTTTAGGAAATAGATATTCTTTAGGTTTCCTTCCATAACTATTTGTTCTCAAAAGGTACTGGAAGGCAGTGGGTTAAAGGTTGTACCCTTTCATCCATCATTAGACATGGCTGGTTACTGGTATTCATAAATCA